AAAAAACCCAATACAAAAGCAGAGATTAAGTCTCTAGTCAGCTGTGGAAGGTGCATTGGACAGCTGAATTGTAAGCAATCAGAGGAAATAAAAACACCTGAGATTTTGAAATCATAGTAATTCAGTTTAAAAACACACAATATGGCATTAAACATTACTAATTAAGGTCTTATAAACCTAGAAGTTACATAAAAAGAAATGCACATTTGCAATTGCACAAGCTATCATTTTTCACAACTACAAGCCTCTGCATTTCTTACAACAACTCATAACTTCTGTATGGCGATGGTAATAGACTTTTCCTAAGATGTGCTTCAACCAGGCTTATTCAAGAGTCTGTCAGCACAACTTCTGCAGTGGGAACTGAAACAAATAAAAGTGGCGCACAGACCAAGATGAGCCACACAGACCTACCTTTCCTCAGCTAAACCAGTATTCCACAAGCACGCCAGCAAACACTAAACTAAACTAAAAGTGGTTTAGGTATAAGTGTTTAGCTCTCTGTTAAAGAGAACTAAAGAACTCATTGCCAAATTTATTTCTTCATTTGTAAGTGCTACTGCTTTTTTGTAGTTTCTCATAAATCAACTTCAAAGGAAAAGCCCCTCTCTGTATTAAAGGAAAGGGCAGCTTGTTTAAACAGCTCTGACTTTTTTTTTAAAGTAATTATCCTTTATTACTTCAATAACAATTAGTCAGGAATACCAGTGAACCTTACAGAAAAGTTTGCTTCTAATACAAAACACTAAAAGCTTGTTTCATCTCCAAAATGCCTCTTCTCCTTCAGTACTGTAAGATTAACAGAAGAACACTCTTACCTCCTTCGAAGAATATCACAAAACAACAGAAGCATCTTGTTGTGCAGAACATGAAGGATCTTCACTAGTATTAATCCCCGAATTAAAACAGAAGCTACTCTGTGCAGCAGAAGCGTGAGGGATCAGCACATGCAGATTAAGTGCACAGGTACACTTATCAAATTTAAATGAAATTGCATATTACACTTCATCAGCGCTCTCTCTCTAACAGCGTGTAACTAGAGATGTGAAAGCAGCACATAACTTTCCTCCTTCATTAACTGACTAATTAGGACTATAACCAGTAAACTAGTTACAGACGGAAAAAATCAACACCTGAATTTGCTGACTTCATTTACTGAACTTTTCTCCTTAAAGCAAATAGAAAATGCCTGGTACTTTGTGCTTCAGTCAGTATTTCCAGTAATACACTGTAACAAAAGTGTTTCAGAGTTAGGTTTTTCCCCCTCTTTCCACAGAAGAGCACAGAAATTAACGTCTTATGCAATGAAGAATCCTTGCTATCACTCTAGAAATTACCCCTCTGTTAAAAATCCAGGACCAAACAATTTTCTAAGATTCACTCTTTTTTCCATTTCTTCTGGATTCGCATAAAAGAACCCCACGTGGATGTAAGTCCCACTACTTATTCACCTGGACTCTCATGCTGAGCTGGCAATGACATGCAAGAACAACATAAGACAAATTTATTCACATCAAAGTTTATAAAATTTGAATATTAATTAAACAAGTAGTAGCCTTCTGCACCAGCCCCTAGAGCAAAAGTCCCACCGTTTGAGAATTAGCAGTATCACAATCAGCAGAAAAAGACACAAATTTCTTCAGAGAAAGGTAATAAATAAAAACTTGTCTTCTTGCTTCAACGTACACAGTATTTTCAACTTTTCCATAAACACAGAACAAAGCTCATGAAATACATTGGAAGCAATTTTCCGATGGACTGAAACATTTTCCTGCAAGGTTGAAATAGCTGAATTTGACTCATTCAAAAGGCACCATTTTCCAAGAAATATTTTCCCTTTCTGGACTTACTCCATCTCTTCATTAATAGCATTCTCTCACTAGCTAGAAATAAGTTTCCAAATATTTAATTATAATTGAAAAAAAGATTACAAAATACAAAGTTTTGTGGTACCTGGGATGACAGAGATGTACTACTTTGTTTTTCCATTTCTTTTGATTTGGAGAAGTAATGAACAAAACAAATGACAGTGAGAACTAACATATGATCTAGTTTCACCAAATAAGGTTGAAGATTTAGAAAGGATTTCTTAAATAAATGTAAAATGTCTTAGCCTGGCAGATGTCATTCCCACAGAAGCGCAGCATTCCTAGAGTGAATTAATGCCCTTCAGCAACACAGAAAGTCAATCACTTAGGCAAGGTAGGACTTTTTAAGAGACCAAGTATTAGCATCTCTGAACACTGGAGCAGGATGAATCTTATTGGATCCTCTGGCAATTCAGAGCTCATCATGCTTTGCAAGGTCCATACTGGGTTTGATGAAGACTCCTTCCATTGCTTTCCAATAGTTGTGATGATTAGCAGTGGGCATGCCATGAACTTCCCGCTGACCTCTAATGGGATGGCCATATTGCTCCCCCGTAATTGAAAGGAACACCTCAGTTCCTGCGTGCTTGAAGCGCACTGCATCCTCCCGCTCCCAGTGTGTCCCACTGCACTGCACAATCCATATATCGAGGTCATCTCCTTCACCATCATCACCAAAGGCACTTACTTCCTGTTAGAGACACAAATCTCCTGAAGTGAAAATATGAGCAAATGCTGCCAATGCATACACAAAAATATCAGCCACAAAGCCAGCAAAACTTAAAGGCAAGGATGCTGAGGAAAGAAACATTACACTGCCGTCAACAGCTCTCAGATCCAGAAGCAGCAACTCTCTGCAACTACAACTTCAACATAAATTGCCAACAAACTCCAACACATAACCTGAGCGTGAAGTGCCAACAAACTGCAACATACATTAGAAATTAAAGACATCTCGAGCAGAGTTCAGAGCAATCCCTCTGACAAACAATTTCAAAGAAACAACACTAATTCCCCACTAAAACAAATTTATAACTGTAAACATCCAATTTTGTAACACAATGCTTCATAGTTATCACTGCAAAAAGTTTTTAATCACAAGGTCCCAACATTCTAACTTATTAAGGAATTGTATTCCTTTTTTGCTTTATTATACCAAGATTACAAGTCAACAACTATTTTGGTACGCAGTGTTAGACAGACAGCTGAATGGCTCCTCAAAAAATAAAGATGGAGAACCATTAGGGCAAGTAAATTCCTGCTAAAACAGAAGTTAGAGATCAGATTTCATTATGTGCCCCCAAAACTCCAAGTCTTTTCATAAACGTGGAAGGCTCAACTCCAACTGATTAAAGACTCAGCACGGACTGAAAAATCAGATGGCTAGAAGTGATTAACAACTTGAAAATAGAACTGCAATAGTTTGAACCTATTGAGCTAATAATTTAGGGTCATGTTAATTCAAGCTTATGTAGTCCATACAGTGTCAAAGACAACATACCAATTGAAAAATCAAACTTCTTTGTTAAGAATATGAAATAAACGTTTGTATTCAGAACCACATCTTACTTCTATAAGAGCAAGGAACTTGGATATAGTTAATCATACGTGTCCTAACACACCGTTAACTGTCTGGCTCTAGATCAGTCTTCATGGTATTAAGAAAAGTGGCTAATGTCCTATAAAAGTGCTAAGCATTTCAAAACAATCATCAGAGTATCAGTGGTGCAGAATAAAGAAACCAATATATGTTTGTAAAAACTATACTGACAAACTGATACTGGTAGATATTACATTTTGTCTCTGTCAGGATCCTTTAACACATTATTCTACAATGCAGAGAAGCAACTATATAAACTTTGCATATCCAGAGATGGCAGCTGGCATCTAACCCTGATTCTTCAAAAGCAAGAAATATGGAAAGAGGTATCGTCAGTATCAGTCATGCACTATTTGTACAAAACTTATGATTCAGAACAACTTACTTGGTTATTGGAGAGTGGCGATGGGAAGTGATGGGTGTGCAAGTTTTTTCCTGTGTTTACATGAGTAAGTCGTATTGCCTGCCCACATTTCACCGGGGTTCCGCGTTGGCAGCTGCCATCAACCTTCCCACGAACCCGCCAGTAACTGTTGGCATCATCTGAAGCTTCAACTCCTGTCACCGACTGTTGCCCACTTCCTGTTGGGACAGAATTAAGTGGCAGGAGACCCAACCCACTCCTGGAGCTCAGGAAGTCCTGAAAGACCTGAGGAAAGCTGCTTTAAACACGAAGGCACGACAGTACTAAGACACACTTCATTCTCACAGTTAATGTACCGGCTCCTGGGAATGCAGGTACCGTAACCTTTAGGCCGAAGAACGTGACCGAGGCTGTCGGCGCAGAGCAGGGCTCACCTCAGGGAGAGGGCAAAGCATCCCCTCACACTACAAACGCAGGAGATGCACGGCACTGTGTGGCCCCGGGCCACAGCCGCCTCCCCTCCCCTGTCCCCGCCCCTAGCCCACGCACAGTCCCATCGCCGCCCCGGCAACAGATCGCAGCAACCTCCGGCTTCATCCCCCGACCCCCTCACAGCCTCCCGCGGCCATTTCCCGCTCCCTGCCCCTCTCCCGCCATTTCCTCGCCTCCTCAGCGCTCCCCGCGCCGTTTCCCAGTTTCTGGCCCCTTAACGCGGCGCCTCCCGGCCCGACCCCACTCACCGGAGCCGTATTTGACCTCGTGAGAATGCAACCGAACGCTGTGGCGGGTGTTAAGCAGCTTCAGCACCGAGCCGCAGGTTACGGCGCCCGGCGCCAGCTCCCTTCCGCCACACAGCCCGCACAGGAGCAGCAGAGGGAAGAAGCGGCAGCCACCCCGCATCGCGCCGCAACCCACCCGGCACCACCGCCACACAGCGGAGCGCGCTTCCTCAGCCCCTCAGCGAGCTCAGCCAATCGCTCCCCGCCAGCACCGCAGTCAACCAATCACCGCCCTCCCTCCGCTCGACCTCCATCTCGCACTGGGCCGCGACCGAGAGAACTCACAGTTCGGCAGGAGGAGCTCATTGGGCCGAGGGAAAGCGGCGACCAATCAGATCAAGCGGCGTGGCGCCTCCCGGGGCGGGACGCGAGGGCGTGCTGAGACGCTTTTACCTCAGCGACGGGCCGGGCGGGGCCCTGCGCCGGAATCGGGCTTTTGTGGGCCGTTCGGTTCGCCTGCCTCAGCGCCTGTCTGCATAGCTCCCGACCTCTGCTGCGGCCGTGGCCAGGCACGGAGCGTTATCACCCCCTGGGTGCTCCCAAGGGCACAGGGAAATCCGTGCGCTTTCCTCACGAGGAGCTTCCCCTTGCTGAAAATTGGGTGTCAGAGGACAGCCTGCCAGGTTCGTTACAGCAGCATTCTCATCTAACGCGTAGTCGGGACTGTTAGAGAAATAATCGCTGGCGACAGGCCTCGCAAGGAAACACAGAGCAAAGTGTGTGATAGCGTAGCTCTGCGTTAGAGCTTCTCGCGCTGGGGTGTAAGTGCCACGCAGAGTAATGCTGACTGCTGTGTGGCTGGTGGTGGTGATCGTGTCTGGTTTTGCACCTGAAAGTTCATCTGCTGTGTTTCAGTTCCTTTTGTAAACTTCTTCTAATACAAAGAGATTATTAGTACCTATTCTGTATAACAGGAAACTGGATAAAGAAAGCGTTGTACTTCATTGCATGGTGCTGGAGACTGAAGGATTTTCCCCCCAGCAGATAATAACAGCCTCCTTTACCAATAGGGAACAGCTATGGATAAAGGACACAGGAACTCCTACATAGTCCATTAGCTTTTGCCTCTGGAACTCATCACTGAATTGGTCCGTATCTCAGGAACGGTCTGGTGTGACGCTCCCAAAATCAGCATCATTTAACAGAGGAAAAACTTTTTATCTTATTAGCAATGCAGCAACATGTAGAAGAGCACCTGCCTTGGGATTTAATTATTTGTAAGGATTGTATTCTGCGTTGGCAACAGCACAGAACTGCAACATCATACTTTTCTATCACGGGATGATTTAGAAAACACATTAGTACTGCTGGCTGGAAGAAACATCGTAAGATGCTCAGATGACACTTTATCTCTTCCACCAATCTGTGAGGTTGTTTTCTACCCATGTGATTACACTCACTTGAATGCTCAGGGTTTTTTTCATGCTGGCCTGTTTTGTGTATCTGACCTAAGAACAATTTCTGACTTAAATGTCATACTTACCTTACAAGAAGCCTGTGTCCTAAACTCAGTGACATGTTCACATTTGCGTGCATGCACACAAGCCCGGTGTGTTTACCTGAGGACTAAAACTTCATAGTCCCAGTACACACACACACACACACACACACAAAAGTCTTACATTGATAGCCAAATGCTATATTTCTTTGTCATTCTAAGAAACCTTGCTAAGACAGGAGCTCACATTTGCACTTGTTACGCATATGGCAAAAACAGATGTCTGTAGTTGCCATTTTAGCCATGGAAAATCAATCATATGGGGCTTTAGCTAGCACCTGTTTGTCTTTCTGGGAGGTCACTCAGCCTTAGTGCATTTAGTACTGTTTACACGGTACTCCCTACGATGCTTTTCAGTTGTACTTTAGAAATGTAATTGGGTTAGAACAGTTGCCAACAAAGAACCCTATCAATGCTGAACACCCGTGGCAATTAACAGCCACCTCATTGCTACAGGGCCCACCATAGTTTCTAGCAGAATGCTGTAAGTGGCAGGTAAACTTGACACAGAAATTAACTAATGGTGCATGTTGGGAATGGAAACGACAGCATATTCATAGGAATCTCATTGTGCTGCTTCTGTACACACACAATAGTTCAGCAGTGCTGCAAAAGCGAAGTATACGGTGTGCAACTACAGTGCCTTCTGTTTTCAGACACTTAACCCTGCAGTCATTTCATATACTTGATTTTCAAGGACTGAAAGCACCTACAATTTCCACTCAGGTGCACCTCTAAGTACAACCTGGCCGTCCCTGAAAAGCAGATTTTAATGTAATTTTGGTGTACAGGAATGGGAAATCTGTAGCACATGAAAATTTCAGAGGGAATACACTAATCCAAAGAAATGTATTACAGAAAAGGATTTTCCTTCTTTTTATATTGGCCTTTTTATAAAATGCTATAAGTTTTCTGTTTGCTGCGTGCAACAATAGCAGTGACTGACAACCAAGGTAGCATGGCAGACAACTCCTGGGATTGATGTACACCTCAGAAAGTAGTGCATCTTTGCATATAGACAGCCTCTGATTTATGAAGAACACTGCAATAACATTGCCTGGTTTCTCTTTCCTGGACTGTCAGTAACGCCAGGCAAAATATATGGGGCACAGTTCTGACCTTATTAGGATCTGATGCAAAAATAAGTCTGAATGAGCTTTTCCATTGACTTTTCTGTGTGCTTCGTCCTCTCACTGGTGGCAGTAAGGACAAACTACTGAGTACAAGAGAGTAACATTAGAGAATCAGGCCTGTAAACAAGCTGTGTTGTTTTTTGTCTCCTTTTGCACCCATGCTGATGAATGTAGAGTTATAACCTCATTCCAGATCAAATATTTGTATCCATTGGCATGTCTTACATTAGACCTCTTCTGTGACCTCTAAGTAAGCATGGCTAGAATACAAATAATAAGCAGTAGTAATATCAACAGGATGCTGTTACCTAAGGAGAAATCAAAATGACAAGAGATGTAGCTTGTGAAAAATTTCTAGAATTGCAGCTTATTACTTAGCCCACATTGTTTAAGGATTAAATACTCCAAATCAGCTGTTTATAATTCTGCATTCAGTAGACAAAAGTAGAATGTAAGAATGAGGTAAATAGCTAAATAAGCAGAAGACACTGGACACTGGAAGTATAGGAGAACCTATACCTCTGCTGCAAAGGAGGCTGAAACTGGCCAAGGCATCTCGCTGTTAACTAAAACAAGACTATGAGACAGGCAGTGACCATGTGAACAAAAATGTCTTTTTCTCCCTCTGAAAATAGTCTTCTTTACAGTCGTGCAAAGACTTAAACATTTCTACAGTAGCCACTGCCTTTGCAGTAATTTTTAAATCTTTCAGGGTGGATTAGAAAAGAAAATGTTATCATCCTTTCATTTAAAGTGGATTTTACTTCATTTAACTCAAACACCTTGTTTTTTACATTTCACACTTTGAACAAAATTTGATGTTCAAAGATAAGAAAAATGGAGTTCTACTGTGCTACCATTGTAATCCCAAATGAAGTAACTCACGGCAGCGAGGGAACAAGAAAAAGAACATGCATGTTCTGTGTCAGCAAACAGTTCGCTTGAAGTATTTGCATTTAGGAAGGCTTTTGTAAAATGCAGGAACCCTCTAAATCTGCTATTGAATAAATGGAAGTTTGAGGAAAGAAATTGAAGCTCAAAACCAGTGAAGTACCATGACTCGAGGATGGAGAAAGTTCTTGCTAGCTTCTGTGACTAAGATAAGGTTGCTAGAAGATGCGGCCGGTGCTTAATGCATATCCTGGCTCAGGCAGTGCCACCAGAAGTGCTGTCCAATATCCTCATCCATTACTTAAAAGAAGATCGGAGTGTAGCCAGAGGAAGTCTGCCTTGCCTTTCAGTTCCACGCTGAGTCTGCTTTCCTCAAGACTGTGCAGAGGGTGAGCTACAAAGTACAGGATCTTGGGAAAGGTCCAATCACAGGATGGGTTAATGGATAATTAATAAAGTCAGATAAGAAAAGCCTCCAGGAACTTCATTCAGTGATTAAGAAGGATGTTACTGTTAACAGTGTTAAATGCACACTAAGATTAAGAAGGTTGAGAAGCCAGACATTGTTTAAGATTCATATGTAGCATCTCTCACCTGTGCAGAGTCAAGCGGCATTGGTAGTATTAGAAAGGAGGCAGAAAACCCTGGAGTTTGCATTGGTAAGGGAAAGATGCATCTGTTATTGATTCATGACATTACTTCAGGGCCATGCTGATTTAATCTGTTGTAGTAATAGCCCTCATCAGTAAATGAAGCCATGGGTGAATGAGAGCTTCATCTAGAAGAGGAAGCAAGTAGCAGCGCGCAAATATCCGCTCAGAAATGCCAAGGGCACTGGAAGCCCTTACAGAACATGAAAAACTCATCTGTAACAGAAGTACACTGCTGTGAAGTGATGGAAATGCAGATACTGCCAGATTTAGCAAGTTCTCTAATACTTTTGAATATCTCTCTTATAAAAAAAATTAATTCCATGTAATCTTTCTTATGGGAAATGAGTCACTAAGGGGGCAGACCTCCCATTTTTGCACTCCTGCTCCTTAGAAGAGGTTAACGGTAACCCTGAATTCACAGACGTGTGATCCCAGTGCTTTCTGAACTGTCACCCTTTCCCTGCTCCAAACATCAGATTGTTATTTTTTCTGCTATAATGGGAATGGCTGAATAATTTGAAGTAACATTACAGACTGAGAAGGGACGTGTTCTGCTTTGCTGGAACTTCATGTTTTCCTTCTGCGGGCTGATAACAGCTCCCATTCAACATTTCTGAGCTACTCAGTGCGTTTTTTCACTTTCACTCTGGTCGGTCAAGAATAATTTTTCTACAGTAAGGAAAAATGGCAGTTGAATGCGAGGACGAGCAGGATTTTACACACAGCATGATGGAGAACTGGCTTACATCCAACCCTGAGCGACAGCACTTGTTAGGAGCGGCCCTTCCCAGAACTCTGTTCTCTCTGCCCTTCCCCAGTGGGGAGCCGAGATCTGTGGGGATTTCCTGAGCAAAGTTGGCTGAAATGAAGTTCTGAGACCGCAGAGTTCACACCGCCGACAAGCCAAGGTGGCGGAAAGATGCGAGCGGTACGGTGGGGATCACGGACCGAGGAGCCGCGCGTTCGCGGCATTGTCGGGGCGGTTCATTTTGCACTGGAGCACTCGGAGCGCCTAACGGAATTACTCGCAGCACCTGCAGCCGCCGGCACGAGCCTCCCCACACGCGACGCCCGCACCTGCCGAGGCCGACCCGGGCGCCTCCGCACCGCTCCTCGCCGTCTCGCGCGGCGCCCGGTGCCTCCCCCCAGCCTCCCTCCTGCGTCGCCACGGCCGCCAGAAGGTCCCGCCGCTCGCAGCGCCGAGGAGGAGCCGCTCGGCTCGGGCGAGCCGCCCGCGGGGGCTGCGCACGAAGAGCGGTGGGACGTGCGGCGGCGAGGCACGTGCGGAGCTCCGCCGGCAGAACCGGCACTGCGAAGCGGCGGCGACCGGGAGCGCTGCGTGCACGGCGGCGGCAGCGGTCAGGAGAGAAGGTAGGCGCCGTGTCCTCGAGGGACGCGCCGTGCTGGGGGCCGGCGGGATGCCCTAGGCATTCTGCAGTTCTGCCGCCTCGCTCCGGGCCCTGCGGGTGAGGCTTGGGAAAGGGAATTTGAACCCTCTGACGCGCCCTCGAGCTATTAAACTAGCGCATAGAGCCCCTGATCTTTTATGCAGTTCAGTGCAGTGCAAAGTGCTGGCAGGCCTGCCTTTCTGCAGAAGGCAGCTCTGGTGCTTTCTTTCAGGAAGCAGGCACGGTGTGAGCTGATGACCGTGCACCAATCCAGCTGCTGTACAAACTGTGAGACAGCAGGCAGGCTGAAGTGACGGGAGTCCACAAAGAGCTGTGTCACGGTTGGGTTTGACCTCGCTGAGCCTGCCTTTTTCTCCTTGCTTCCAATTTGCAAATTGCTGATTTTTTTTTTTTTTTTTTTTTTTTTTTTTTAAACTAGCCATGACCTCTAAGGATGTTTCAGGCAAAGCTAATAGTAACTGGAGATGACTTTGGCTACTGCCCTCAGAGAAACCAAGGCATCGTGGAGTGTTTCCTAGCTGGAGCTGTATCTAACGTGTCCCTTCTGGTCAATGGAAGTGCTGCAGCAGATGCAGCCAAACTGGCAATGAGGTAAGCTACTTTCTTTAGCTCCTGTGTGGACAGCCTACTCAGGCTATCGCAAAGAAAGCTAATCTCGTCAAGCTGCCTGTTCAGTTGCTCCAGTATGAACACTGTATCAGAATCTAGGCTGGCATAAGAAAGTTGGATTCTGGGCATCTTTACTAACGTCCTTTGAACCACTTTCTTGGGAAAGAAAGGGTTACTCAACTTGGGGTAATTCATACCCCAAATGTGGCTCTTCCTCTGGAATTATCTGCATTGGCCATTCTATTAAGGTAAATAGAAAACCACTTACAGTTTTACTTGTATAGTTTGAATTTGTTGGATTTTCTTTTGCCATATTTCTAAAACATACATACCATTGGAATGAAAGCCTGTGCTACACTTTCAGACCAAAGTCCTAACCCTAAAACCATTGGGACACAATTGTAGAAACCTTTACATCTAATTTAATTCAATGCATTTGAACAGATTGAGCATGAGGACAGCCAGGCTCTTTTCAGAATTTGGAAAAGGTATAATTCTGCAGAAGGTCAGCAGAATGCTTGGCTTTTTCAACCAGAAAACCAATAAAATCAATGTTTCTATTCATTTAAAAAAAAAATCGATAAATCAATTTGTGAAACAAGATCAAAACAAATAAGACTCCCTACTCCATAACAACAACAAAAAATCCACGATCAAACAAAGAAATCAAAACCAAAAGCCACCATCCCCCCATAATACCTCTTGTCTGTGTTGTACATACCTTTGCTCCTTCATAAATTTTTCAGAGGTTTGTGGCGCATCTGACAGAGTAGCAAATCAATAGCATGCGTTGTTCTCCTGGGCTAGCCCAGCAAGTCTTTTAATAGACAGTTTAGAAGGTAAAACCCAGCTAATGCTTTTAGCTTCTATGTGGGCAGGGACTTTGAAGTAGGAACGCATCCCAGAGCAGTAAGGCTGAGAAAAAAATCAGGAAAACAGAAAAAGGAAAGGAGCTGTACTAGGACTAGAAACACTGAGAATTTAAGCTTCAGATACATCTTCTGCAAAGGTTCTCCTTATTACTCCTCCTTATTACTGTGCTTTTCAAGGTACTTGGAAATTGCCTGCAGCTTCTCTGGTGAAAATGAACATTGGGTGGTGCAGGAAAGTCAGGGTGTGGTGTTAACAGCAGATTGGTCTTCTGTTAACAAGGCTGGAGATGGCACATGAACACTGGGAGGGGAACCATCCCTAGGCTGATGAAGGGAAAGGCAGCAGAGCTAGGCAGAACACTGCTGAGATACCTAAAATCCTGTTAGTAAGTAAAATGAATGAAATGTAAAACAAGGAGATAAAGCCAGCACATCTCTCAGACATATAGGCACCATGAAGCCCTTCAAGCCCTAAAGCTCTGGTAATAGCTCCACTATTTTAGCTGAAGGCTTTTAAATATAGAATCCACCTGGCCTCATTTCCATAGCTAGAATGTAGGCTGTGTAATCAGAGGTTTAAAAACATCTTTGAATCCAGGTCACAACACTTGTGCTAACAGCTGATATGGTTGTTTGAAAAAAAAAAAGCCAAGTTGTATGGTGAGTGACAGCAGAAGCTGCAACATGCTGCTGCAGTTTTGCTCTTCTGGAGGGTAATTTTGAATTGTACATGTGAATTACATATATTTAAATCTATTTCTGAGAATATAAGCTGGGTGACTTTGGAAACATCTGTTAGCACTGAAGATTAATGAGCCAGTTTCTACAATTCCTCACTTGCCTGTAATTTCCTGCAGCTGTGTTCAATCCTGCCCATGCATGGGGAAAGTGTTTGCAGGCATGGGGCAAGGGATCTGTCTAATGCAAGACTCAAATCAGGTGGTGCTAGCATACCTATATTAAACTGACATCGGAACATGTAAATAAAATCATGTCACCCCTAAGACATATAGGCCAGACTTATTAAAAATAACATTTAATCTTCATCTTGCAGTGCCATGATGCAAGAAAATTAGGAGGGGAAAAAGTATGACTCACTGCTTTACTGTCTCACCACTCTTACTCCTTTTACTCCTTCTTTCCCTTACTTGGTGTTGTCCCCTATCTCACTGTGAATGTTTAAATTTTACAGTGTTTTGGGTTCTGTGCCCTGTTTTTTCCACCCCCATGTTTGTGTTATCCCATAGCTACCCATCTAAGAAGTACCACACCCACACATCACAGAATCACCATGGTTGGAAAAGACATCAAGATCATCCAGTCCAACCATCCACCTATCACCAATAGTTCTCTCTAAACCACATCCCTCAACACAAAATCCAAACGTTCCTTGAACACCTCTAGGGACGGTGACTCCACCACCTCCCTGGGCAGCCCATTCCAGTGCCTGACCACACTTTTAGAGAAAGAGAACTCCACAGCAGAGCTTTCAGCCTGTGACTAGACAGCAATGTAAGCTGGGAGGCTGGATCCATCACCAATTGAAAAGAAGCTTGAAGTAAGCAGGTCGTGCTTTCCTGTGTGCATTGCAGCATTGTGATCTTTTGCACACATGATGCCAGGATTGTCAGAGTGCTGGTGTTTCAGTGACTTGTGGAGATCATGTATAATTCTTGATAAATTATGGTGTGGCTGCCTGTCATTGCATGTTTTGAGCTCTCCTCCTGTCTTCAATTAATTGCATGCAGGGAAAGTTAATGCCTGCAACAAGGCAGCTTTTCTTGCAGGATAGTTTTTCTTAAGCACTTTGCGACTCCTTGCATCCTTCAAGACGAAATACTGTTCCTCTGGAATTCTACTATTTCCTGCATTTTCCCATAGGCTTCTAGGTATGCCATCTGTTGCCCTGAGTTTTAATTAGAAGACTTGACAGAAGTTTGACAGTTGTCAGCAGGTGGTTTTACCAGCTCTAATGCAAACTAATTGCGGAACCAAGGAGTCAATAATTCACCTTTCCTAACATTCAGGCTTTGGATTTCAGGCTTTTCTTATTTGTTTCCACAACTGGGCTGAAAGAAAGGATCTGGTTATTTCAGGCAAAAGTGTAGTTTCACCAGAGGCCTGATTCACTGTCAGATGACAGATGATAACAATTGCTAGAGCAGTGCACAGTGAGAATAGCAGAAGGAAGAACAGACTTACTTTGTTATCAGTAACTCGAAAAGTTTTCTCTTGATGGGGCATAAGACTGAAGCGATGTCCTGGTTATCCATGTAATATAATCTCATATATTTATCAAGCCCCACTTTGAGACATTGCTCTTGGTGCTTCTTCCAGAGAAGAGATTTATGGACTTGAAGGGTTATTTTGTTGAAAACGTGTCTTCATTTTTCCATAGAAACACATACAGAGATGGCAGAAATGCAGAGACCTACAGCTATTTACCGCCCCTTACCAGCCCAGTTGTGACTGTTAGGACCTTCTTCCTGTTTTCTAGGTTATTATGTCCAAACACTTAAATAGTGACAAATTTTAGAGCACAGCTTCAGACTTCCTGCCTTTTTTTTTTTTTTTTTTCCTTCCCCTTCTCCTCTGCTTAATCTCAGCTACACAAAAGCTGAAGCCCCCACAACAGCTGGGTACATTTAGCAGAAGAATCTAACAAAACCACATTTAATTGCTGTGTATGTTTTCCTCTTCCTTTCCCATCAACACTAATTGCAAAATGTGTGTGTAAATTGTGAATTAATTCTGACCCTTCAGTCGATGTCTGATAAATCTAGAAGTCTCTCATGCTTCTCATCACCTGCTTTATCTGACTTTTAATCACAGGCAGGCAGTTCTGCTGTCAAACTGAGTTTTGGATTTAGGACAGCGTGCTGAGGCCTTAAACTGGAATCCCAAATCAGATTGATTTCAGAGGGCCCAGCACTTTTTGATGATGTGGAATCATGGACAGTAGATCTTCAACTGATACAAAAATTTAATTGAAAATAAAGGTACATCCTTACACAATGTACAGAACCAGTTCTTAACACTACAGAGGATATGGGGTGTTTCTGTCTACAAGAGTAAGTCCTTAGCAGTGATAGAGCAAGCCAAGATGGTATTTGATAGGATGCAGTTAGACAAAATGCTGCTATAGGGTGAAAGCAGGCAGTGGGTACAAAACAAACAAACATGCAAATGCCCACATTGAAAAACTAATATGTGCTCTTCACATAGAGCATGGCTTTGCTTTGTCTGGATTCAGACACTTGAATAATTACTGAAACAGGATGTCTGGATATTTATGTGAGGCCCTTAGTTGCATCACGCTTGGTCTGAAGCCCAATGAAACAGTGATTTCCCAGATAAGGTACAAACAAGATGTTGAAGGTGGGATCTGTTTACCCATCAGGGAAAAGAATAAGTGCCATGCTTACCCCAGAGTATGCCTTGAGCAAAGAATTGGCAAGGGTCTGGTATTAGGGAAATCAAGTAACTTCCACAGTGATTACAGCAGCTTCAGGGATCATAGGGACTGAACAGAGTGGCCAGTCAGGAGCCAGGGCACAGCTGCTCATGCACCAAACTCAGAAGCGTGCAACAAAGCTGGCAGCATTTTAAAGTGACTCAGTTCAGGGACACAGGGGACCCTTTATGCAACTGTACAAAAACCTGTTGCCTCAGCAGAGATTTGTTCAGAGCACTCATGTGGCAAAATAAGCAACTACTTGAAAAGGAAGCAGTTCATCTGGTTGTATTTCCTCTATTTCATGGGTATCCAAAATTTCAGCTTGCCTGAGCTGCAGTGAGTGAAGGAGAATTGTCGAGGGCCATATCTACATTGGTTGCTTCACTAGTAATGTCTCCTGATTATATCTATGGAAGCTACAAGAGATATAAAGAGCAAAATAACTCCACTTAAAAGAGCAAACTCTCAGCCAAAAAACGCACTTTTTCAACAATCACCACATCTGTGATTAAATCTGTGCATCAGGAGAGGCTTGCCAACATCTAGACTCCAGCCTCCAAAAAGGAGGTGGAAGGGTCATTGTCGCTTAAAACAACAAATAGAATTAATTTAGAGAGACCACCTCATAGATTTGTGTCCATATTGTTTTGTGTTGGCAGTGGTAGCTGTTACTGTAGTTCTTATAGCAGAAACTGTTGCTTGAGTCTCAGTGCTCATCCTTTTAAATTTTATGTTGGGTAGGACAACTAGCAGTTGGATTTGATTGGCAACAGAATCAGCACAAATTCTGCCTTATCCATAATGCCTGAGGCAGAGGATTGGTTATGAGGGCAGACCCACCGTAGCTGAACTCTGCTTCCAGTGTGGCATCACATGCTGAGCTGAAGTATCAGTCTCTGCTTCAGCATTTCTGCTAATGAAATAGCAGGTATTTTATTGCCTTTGAAAAGATCTGGACAGCTGTGTTTGTGTAGGGGAAGTTCCCTTGACTTTTTTCCCTGCCTTTTTGTCTGCTCTCTCCTGCAACACAGCATGCCTTACTATTCTTTGGTTACAGAAGCTACATGTCTCTGGTGAGAGACACTCCAGAGTACTCTGAAGAGCTAGTGCAGTGTTATTTAATAGTAGAAGAAAGCCTGCAGGTTCAGTCTTAAAAGCCAAGTGTCAGGGCTTTAGATAGAGCATTATTGGATCCCAGTCTTCTGAGGCACAGCCCAGGTGTTACCGTAATATTGAAGTTTTACTCTCGTTTTCATCTCATTGCTCTTAGGGCTTCAGAGACTCGTGCAGTGTCAGGATTGTTTGGGATGAACATTGAGCCCCTGGGCACGTGGTGCTGGAAGGAGCATCACCTGACTCATTGCATCCAGAGAAACAGGAAAGTGCAATCTAGAAGCAGAACCCTGCTGTGCCCAGTGAGTTGTCCACCTTCTCATGTCCTTAAAGCTCTCCTGGCATGTTTGCTTCTGTGCATCTCCCATAGATCAGTACTTCTTCCGAAGTTTCTCACATGCTGTGTTTTGAGTTTTGGTTTCGGTGCCTGTATCCCAGAGCTATTAAACACTAACGGTTCCTCTTCAGATTCCTTCACACCAACAGTCACTCAAACCAGCCAAGACTAATTCTAGGAGAAAACTATTAAGATATTCAGCTGGTGTTTACCAAAGCTCTGAAAAATGCTCTAATGTTACAGAGAGAGTCTCCCCTTACAGTGAGAACAGAGCCAGCTCTCTGCACTTCCACATTCTGCACATTCCCCAGCTCCAAGGCTGGTTTCAGCTCAGGCAGAGAAGCAACTCTAATGCAGTGCAGCACAGTGCCTGGCTCCCTGGTGTCCCACACCTGTCAGAAAAGTTTGCCTTTTCCTGAAAATAGCGTTGCTCACAGCATTGCACAACTGGAGGTTCATTTGATGCCCTTGGGAGACAACACGACAGGGCCCAGCTGTTCATTTCTTGCCCTCCTACATCACAAGAAGGCAAGTGCTCAACAGACAGTTTTCTGTCTGCTAATTCATGGTAGCACATGCATCCTTTTCTTCTAGACAGCAGTGGCGATAGTGCAAGAAGTGCCATCAGCTGACATAGTCAGAACTTCCCAGAGAAAGGATAAAGAACCTGAGATTTCTGAAAGAATGAATTCCCCCTCTACCTTCAGGCTCATTCGAAGTACACAGCAGGTCATGGGAGGAAAGGGATGTTCTTCTGCTTCAGCTCTTCTCAGAGTTGTCCATACACTAAGAAAGAGCCTAAACCAGGTCAGGTGCCTAAACCATAGTCCTTTAGCACAAGACATGGAGGAACCAGGAGGAAAGAATTTCAATCCTACAATGTCTTAGAATGGGAAGGAAGTCATTTACCCTGACCTGGTCCAACCCATCCACAGTCCTTTAGTCCCCAGCAACTTTGCACTTCACTAATGAGTTTCAGAACAGCAGCTTATTGGGTCAGAGAGCGTGTCTTGGAAGAAGTTTCAAAGCATCATTTTGTCCACCCTCAGAGAATTTCAGAGGTGGTAATGAAGCTCAGCACAAACCTGAGAACCAGCATGGATAGAGTGGTGTTACAAAGAAAAGGAAGGGTGCTCACCTGTCTCTGAAGATCTAGACTCACAGGAAAGACTTAACAAGAGAAGGATCTCCAAGCAGAGACCCTTCCCCAGCGGCACTCAGCCCTTAAATGCTAAGAGAGGTGCAGCCAGGCTGCGCGCCTTCCTGTCCCACAGCTGAATTGCCTTCACCTGTGCTCCCAGGGCTGGCTGGGTCCTGTCCCCAGGTGCTCAATCAGTGCTTCAGGCTGTGACTCAACAGTTGCCATACACACCAGGTTACCCTTAAACTCAGAAAATATTTACACTTGTAGTCTTTGCTGTTGCCATAATGGCTGCCTTAGGCACTATTTAGGTACAGCTGGATTCCACTTATGTGTAACTTTGGATGAAGTTGTCAAGTAAGACTGAAATTTTATAAAGGTGGTTTTTTCAGTAGTATAAGCTCTGGAGTTTATTAATTGTTTTCTGAAAGAGTTGCTGTAGCAGTAGTGCTGAGCCATGGCCTGAAGCAGTGACCAAGCACCTGGTGGCAAGGCAGGGCAAACATAGGTGAGCTCAAGTGCATGCAGTGCACCTGGGTGACTGGAAGGGTTGGAGCCACGATCAACCCCTTCTCAGGCATTGTGTAAGGGTTGGCAGTGGAGATGAGGGTACCTCGCTGGAAATCCCTGCATACCTGAAGCCTTCCAAATGTAAGCATCTTTTTTCCTTTGTTTCTGCGTCCATGGCTGCTGCACTTGGACTTGTTCTCATTTGCTGCAGCTAAAGAATTAGCTGTCCTGCTGTTATTGCTGTGCTTTCCATCTTATTATAGTGTTATGGTTGCAGTATTCAGATTTTTCTGTCATTTGCTAGTAACTTCAGGACAGATACTAATACCATACAGTTAGTTATAGTTTTTAATACAGATATGAAATTTATTCTGAGATGTATCACGGCTGCTCTCTTCACGTGAGCCAGGATGAGAACGCTGTTGGGGAATACCATAGGCTGGACAGATTTGTTATCTGGATATATTCTGCTCTGGGCTATTCTGATTTCCTTTCTAAAAAAGAAAAGGTCCAAAGCGACCACAATAATCTGGATTAGTCTGGATATTTCACAGAAGCCTCATGCTTTTGATGCAGTGAGGGAGGTAGAGGTGTAAAGTTTAAGAGGTATTTTATTCCTATTACAGATACAACATCCCCATAGGACTGCACGCCAACCTCTCTGAGGGCTCCCCTGTATGTGAGGCGCTCAAGACAAACTCTTCTCTCCTCAGTGAAGCTGGATTTTTTCATGGGAAAATGGGATTCAGAACAGCTCTATCAAAAGGCCTCCTAAATATGTCAGAGGTAGGAGAAAGCCACATACATAGCAGAATCACTAAGTCATGGCCTGAAGCAGTGATTGAGCACCTGGTGGGAAGGTGGGGGCAACCCAAGGGAGTTCAGGTGTATGCAGTACACTGCAGCGTGGGACTTTGCCCCCCTGCTATTATTGCTTTGCTTTCCATCATATTGTAACATTACGCACGTGCAACTTGCTTTCCTGATACAGCTCAGCCTACACTTATTCCAGCACATAATAGTTGAACATCTTTTTGTAGGTCATGTCTGTAAGTGTGCTTACAGGTGAATCTAGGCTGTGGTGCCTTGGCATCTGAAATTGGCTTTCTGTGTCCTACACGTAATGCTGCTAAAATCGATGCAGTCTTTGACAACTCACTCTCCCTGCTTCTTTAAAACATACACTAGTGTGCTTGTTAACTACTTATCTGAGGAGGCAGAAGAGATATTGAAGCAGATACCTGTGAAGAACCTGCGATCAATAAAGGGAAAATGCCAGAGAACTTCTCAGTAGACTCTGTGTTATCTTGAGAGGCTCTCATTCTCTAGGCAGATATTTGGTTTTGCACTGTTAAGCAAGGATGGGTGTGTTCTAGTGACCAAAGCTGCCTTTCAAAGTAAAGGGAAATGGATATTCAAATATCATAGCTTTAAAAAAATAAAAATAAATAAAAAATCACAGCAGCAGCATCATCCACTCAGCCAGAGCCGAAAGGAGACCTGTACTTAGGAAGGATGCCAGGCAGTCCAGCGCCATTACCCAGCCAGCACTTCGTGCCTTTCAGTGCCATATCCCAAGTACTAGCAAGCAAGGTCTCCAACACCCACCTCGCACCCTCCTGCTCTCAGCCTTTTCTTTAATCCTTTTCTGCTGTGTAGGTGAAGCAGGAGCTAAAGGCCCAGGTGGATCTGTTCCATGAGCTAACAGGCCACCTACCTACTCACATGGATGGACACCAGCACATTCACGTTCTCCCAAGTAAGCAAACACTCCTTTTCTTTCCAGCACTAAGCAGATGAGAAGCCCCACTCTTGCCATGGCTCCCTGGACAATAAACCTTATAGGATTTGTGTAAGGCTCTACAATTGCAGTTGTGTTCCCACCTTGGACAAGTTAGCCTCTGAGATTGAAGATTGGGTGCTACAAAAGTTGTGCTGTTGGTTGTATTTCTATTCTAATCTTTATCTGTGGGTTTCAGCTTGTTTTTCATATGTATATTATAGGCAAGTACCAGTGTCTCAGTTTTCCAACTAAGATCATTGTTTGTATAGAGATGGAAAACTTGGCAAAAAAAAAAAAATAATCAGTATTTCCCTGTGTTAACAATCAGCTGACTCGAGAACTGTGGCAGGGACTTGGTGAAGAGTGTGTTCCCAACAGTACAGCCACCGCGGGTTTACTCCAGGACAAGGCTCCCAACCTCAGAAGAGGTTACTGGACTAAGCACTCAGTGCTGAAGGGGAGACAAGGCACATACAGCAGTTGTTGAACAAGTAATGCTTTCAGGTATTTCCACTTCAAAAGGGCGCTTTGATCCAGATGCACAAAACCATTTCAGCAGAAAAGTCAAATGAGGTTTTATGTTTAAGACACTGAAGGAAAAATGTGTCTGTGCTAACAGCTTTCAGGGGTTGTGAGTTGGTTATCTGATTCCTTACTAAAGTTTCTTTTTATTTACAGAGGTCAGGCACGTGTTTGCAGAAGTGTTAGAGGAATATGGGATTGAATACACTCGTGTCCCAATAGAGCCAGGCCTTCATAACTGTGACTGGATTGAGCCATCCCTGATGGACTTCTATGTGGGAGTAGAAGAAGATTCTCTGAAGACAGTGGATGTGTTTACAAAGCATGGAATAAGGTAAGACAGGCATTACTCCTTCTTTTTGAAGTAAAACTTTAAGATGTATCAGTTCCTGATAAGATATTTTCAGAATGGAACGAGACCTCCTTCTCTTTCCAATCTGGGGCTTACAAGGGAATTCTGCAAGAGTACAGAAGCTCTGGAAACACTATGGGTTACTGTGCAGATTTGTTTGAGAAGAGATGATTCACTTTTCGTGTGAAATGGATTGTTCTTCTCAGGGTGTTTCTCAACCTTTCATTCTCTTACCATTTCAGATGCCAGAGTAATGCCACTTGATTAGAAGCGTTAGATGTGCTTCAAGCACTGGAACTTTAGTTGTAAGATTTAGGGAACGTTTTTGAAAGATAACTTTTTACATCCTTGAATTGTGAAGAAAGGGCTTTAAGTAGCAGGAAATAAGCTAATTAAGAATCACTATTCGTTTTGTGGAAGCAAGAAGATCATAGGGCGTACAATGCCAGAGCAAGTGATCACTGCTTTAAAGCAAACAGTCTTGTCAGTGTCGTGTGAGTCATAATTTTACAGATGAACGACTCTTCAGCTGAGGTCCATGCACTCACCTGCCCTTGGATGATGTTACTTTTCCTTGCTTTCTCAATTGACTGAAGTATTGCCTTCTTGGCTTTTAGGTGAAGTTGTGTATTGATATAAGCTGGATGGCAGTATCGCTTGCTGTCAACTAGCAGAAGGCCAGCATTTCACTGTACTCTTTCTGTGCAGAGCACTCAGACTGTACTAGGACAGCCTATTACTGAGAAAGCAAAGGGCACAGCAACTCAGAGTGAGAAATTGGGAGAAATGAGCCAGGAGCAATGCAGGGGAATTTGATGGAAATTCCCCTCCAAGGATCTCCGTGCCACTCCAGGGACCATGCTTTGGTAGCGCAGGGGAACTACTGCTCCACGACCCTCTTAATGCCCTCAGGGTGGAACTCATATGGCTGCTAAGGGAGCTGTGCCTTTATACCTGTTGTGGCAACACCCCCACAAGTGGAAGTCTGTGGCTGTCTTTTGCATGGAGGTGCTGCAGTGGGCCACGCTCCACCTCTTCTGCTGCTGCTGAGAGTGAGGAGGAATTGATTGCTACTAAACAAATGTGTAACTTTTACGTAGGCTTTTATTTTCCCTACTAAGTTAGTTGATAGCAGCATTTCTCAGTTACAGCTCTGTCCTTTCACTGCTAATAATGTGCACCTTTAAGCTCTCAGATGCCACACAATTCCAGTGCCATGACAGCATACATTATCAGAGTAACAATATAAATGTTGGTATCTGAGCTATGCTGGGACTTTCTGCCAGACTGAAGAGCTGATGTTCTAAACAGTATCTTGATTTTGACAATGAATGAAAGAGCATTATTGGCTTGTAGTTACAGTTTTACTTTTGATTCCTCATCTACTGAACATAACACACTTTTGTCTAACTACCTCATTAACATTAATATCTGTGTTCCCACCTCTGGCTACAGGTGGCCAGACATTTACATAGGTTTGAGTACCATGGGCAAGAACATGTCTGTGAGTGCCATCCAGAATGCCATAGACACCGCCATTGTGGAGTTCACATCCAAGATGCCTGCACACCCAGTGCCACAGCACAGGACGGTGGCGATTGAACTGATGGTGCACCCAGGGTACCCAAGCGTCCCTCCCATCGGTGGCTGTGGGGAAGGACCGGATGATTTCTCACAGTCCTGGGAGCGCCTGCATGAACTCCAGACATTAATCAGGCCAGAGCTGCAGAGCCATTACAAAACAAGGAACATTCAGCTTTGTTCATTCAAGGATCTGTAAATATACATATTTGCATACCTACGTTTGTACTTCAAGGGTACACAGTTGCTAATGTCCCCATAAGCCGGACCACGTTCCCAGCCTTTGTAACACCTCCCAGCACAGCTGGCAGGAGCTGTCAATGGCCTGGAAGTTGCATGAAGCCTTTTGTGAAAGTTGAAACAGTTTGTGAGCAGTGACAGGCAAGTACCTGGGGGTGCATATCCTAGTACTGCGGAACGCTGTCCTGTGAGTCAGTCATATTCCATGTGAACCTTCAGCCTGAAAGTCCTTGTCCTGTTTGTTCATTTTAATTCCAATCATGAAAGCATCTGAGCTGCAATGAGCCCTGTACATATTGCTGTGTTTAACTGCATTTTAAGATGTAGACGTGTTACTGACTTTCTGTGTGGCACTTTCTTCTTTCAGACTGTTGATGCTCATTTCCTGTGCAAAAGCGATCTACCTAACATCATTTTAAAGCGTTTTTTAAATACTAAAAAAAATTAATATCGCCATCTTTTCTAAGCAAAAAAATAGTCAGGTCTTTTTCTGTTGTAATGCAGTGTGAGCAGAAAGCACTCAGGTATCTGCTCCAGGCGCAAGGCCCTGCAGAGCTGGGAGGGCATCTTTGTGTCACTTTGGTCGCTGGAGCTGTGTGATCCACCACTCCTGTGCACCTGAGGCAGTGTTTGCTCTGTACAAACACAAAAAATCATCGAGGACACTTGGTAAAATATTTTCTCAGGCTCTTTCCTAATTATCGTAACGGTTTACGCGGTGTGGAAACAAAACGCGGGAGACCGCATCTTCAGAGCTGCGGAAGGCAACTGAGGTGCCAGAGCGCGGCTGGACGCGCGAGTGCCATCTGCTGCCCTGCCGCGTGCTGCAAAGACGGTGCGCCAATACTGCAGCTCCTTTTCCGCACTGTGACCGTGGTATGATGGATAATTTAAACCTTAATCTAAACTTTTGAACTGCGCAACAATTGGTGACTTTGCTCTGTTCACAACCGTTGGGATGTAACTTAGCTCAGCTTGTATGATTTTCTTCTAGCTGAACGTGGAAATGAACACAACAGTCTTACCTGAGCAGTTGTTAAGAAAGGCATTTTATAAATACCTCATTGTCAGATGAGCAGAACTGAAACCCAATTTTTTAAATTGAAATGAGTTCTAAACGTGGAAATGAATACAGAGCTTCTGAAAGACTGGTAAGTAAGGAACCTTTCCCTTGCACAGAATGCACAGAGGAGGTTTCTCAGGGGCTCTTCACATTCACCACGGAGTTGAGACTGGAAGCACACACAGGCTGCTGTGATACACAACACTGTACACAGATAGCTGAGGTACAAACATGAAATCTCTTTGAAAATAAAACCATGCCACAATGCCTTTGAGAGCAATTTTTATTAGGGTAGCAGAATGGAATTGCAGAAAGCCTATACCAGTGTTCATGGGTGTAGTTGTTTTATTTTGGATTTTCAACTGCATGTTTAGAATTCAGCATGGCTTAGGGAACCAGAGAGCACAAGAGCTTGATTTCCTGAGTTAACAAAGGGTTTGATTTCTTTTTCACCTCAGACTTCAACCACACAGTACAGTATTTGATCTTTATCTTCCTTTTAGAGGGCCACCTGCAAACAAAAGCCATCACTTATGTTACACACTTCATGATTAAAAACTGAGCTCTGAAACACACACAAAGAAAACTGATGGTAATGCTCATCTTCTGTGTGATCTTTACAAATGAAATGAGAACAGCTAGCGTACAGCACTGCTATAGACCTCTACGAATCAGCTGAAGCTCCTTCAGTTACACAGCTCTTCCAGTTTCCTTACAATGGCATCCAAGCCACACTGAAATAAATGCAGTCTTTAACCTGAGAGGCTTACAACCAGAAAGTATACTATTTAGTAGTAACGATGGCAGCAACCTAGTGCTACAGTCGTTTTAAATAATAAAAATAATGCAAATTTAAAGAACGTTTCAATTGTGAACAGACATGATCAAAAAGTACAGTGACTCAGCTGATGCGAAGTTACACACTTCAGTTCAACAGATAATTTGGCATTATTTTATTACGAATCTGAGTGAGCGTGAAGGAAACAAAATCAGTACCAACTTTCTGCAACCAAAGACACAAAGATGTGAAAAATTTGGTAATAGTGCTCTCACAAGCCAAGAAACACTTAGGGAAGGTAAGTTTCCGTAAATAAGGTGAATGTGGTTTAACTTCATTTACCTGCCAAAGAATCCATCTAAGAACACTTAACATGAAATTTCTTAGCTCCCTAACTAATAAAAAAAAATTACTTTCAGCAGAGGTGAGGTACTGGGCTGTCATTGTTCACTAAATCCAAAATAAAAGCCAGATGAGAAGGGCAAATGAAGGAATAGCAAATATACATTAAAAACCAATAGACCTACAGCTTGATGCACTACTTCTGCAAGGTTGCAAAGGTAGAGGCTGTATTAAAAGTGACTCTAGGAGTATAGACAACCATCCAGATGTGAGGGATTTTCTAATTCAAGTTCTTGCAAATCGAAGTGATATGTACTCCCAGCTAACTATGGATTTCTGGAAATCTGTTTACTCAGTAACACACTCAGGTTCTACAGGTGGAGAAGGCAGTTTGATTGTATGGCAGTTTGATTGGAGCTACAATCACACTTCAGACTTAGGACACGCAGGCAGAAGAAAAGCAATAGAGACACAGTAAAGGTGCCCAACTCTGAATAGAAAGGGCAACCTTCAGCATGCGTGGGTGTGCCTGGAGCAAAGGGAAAACAGCTCTGCCCAAGTCAGAATGATAACTTGATGTAGTCATTAGATAACCTAACGTGTACTTTTAAAACGTAGGAACAGTAGCAGTGAAGTGTATTCAGTTTATTGCTTAATCCTACTCTCGTACTATTTTCAGTAATAACTGTACAGCAACTGGGAAGGAAGTGGCGTGAGTGCCATTCCCTAGCACGTATATCATCTGCATTTGGATGAAAGAAAATCTCACTAGCAGTGCTAACATTCAGTATTTGAAATTAATTCATTCCTAAAATACCAACTTTTTCACTCAATACCAGTTTAGTATTTTGGTGCATCTCTTGGTCCTCAATTTCTGAAACTTCTAAACTGGTCGCACTGTTGTTCTGTGCACATTATCCAAGCTAACTTACACTAACTTTTATTAAGAATAAAAGTGAAAGGAGTTTGGAATCACATTTTACTACTACTTTTTTTTCCCCAGCATTTTCCAAAAGCAGGACATAAGCCATATTCTAATTCAATAACGCAGACAAGAAATTGGATTTCCCCATTTAATAAACATTTTGTGGTAACATCAGCCAGATTTACATAAGACCTGGACATTTCTGATTGTAGTTGGGTTTTTTTTTTTTATTATGTTACAAACTGAAGTTAAGGGGAACTTGCAGCAAGTCCCACAGAGCACAGTGCAATGTTTTGAAGAGTAAACAAAACTGCCAAACACTCAATCATTTTCTGCCAGAAGTGGGATATTTTTTCTAAGACATCAGTTTGAGGAGGAGCAAAAATTCAATGCTGAATTAAATGAACTCAGGATAGTGGTAACTGCAAGGAGAAGTAAGAAATGACAGCCACAACCTTTTCAATTCAAGGGCAGAATATAAGTCTAAGATATTTTTGATAAATTCTGACAAAAAAAAAAAAAAAAAGAAAACAGCATACTTTAAAGTATATTGAAGCAGTGATTTTTAAACAAAGAAAGCAGAACTAGAACATCTTAAATTTTTAATTCTTCCTTTACAGGTTACCTAGCCCACTTTTGATTAAGAAAACTGTAGAAAGTTAGTAACAGCCACAAGTTAACACCAAAAGGTGGCACTTGTCAATTTTCCATAGAGTCCTGCTTTACGGGATGTCTCAAATGCACTGCTCCGATCTTCTATCATACGTTGCTGACATCAGCTGTGTCAGATTTTAGTCCACTGGTCGCTTTTCACCATATTTCTTTGTAAACTCTTCAGCATTCTTACAGAATTTTTTACGGTCCTTAGAGTATTCTTCAGCTAGGTCAGCCCGCAGGGGATGCTCAGGCTGTGGATCATTCACCAGTGCTATGAGGGACTGGATTACTGTCAAAAGAAGTAACAACACTGTCAGAGACTAAGACTGTTAATTTAAAGGGGAAAAAAAAAAAAAAGATAGAACAAGATATAAGAAAATAACTTAAACTGCATTTAAGTATATCCTAATAAATCTTGTTTCTTTTCAAGAGCAGAGTAAGATACCACATCAGTAAGCTACAGTAATGTGCCAATGCACAGTTCAATGACAGCAAATACATCAGGAAATCACATCTGTGAACAGAACCTGCCTGTGAGCAAAGACCAAAATGCACAGCACAGTATTTTCCCAAGCACTGAGCATCCTGCCTCCTTATGGCTGAGCAAGGAGTTTCACAGACAGCTTCACCTGTAATGCATCAAGTGAAGAGGGCCCCAGAATTTCTGTCACAGAACATTTTTCCCTAATACCTCTCACAATAAATTAAGCAATTCAGTTGTAATTGGATCTACTTTTGGAAACCATTTTTTTCAGCTTTATTTTTCTGTGACTTACTTCCCCTATAAGTAGGGAACAACTCTTGACATTATTCTGAACTACCAAATATGTTTTCTAGTATAGATATACTAGGCAATACAGTAAGAACTGCAAGGTGCTTTTCATACCACTGTTCACAGCTGCACGGCAACTGCTGAGTCACAGCCTGAAGCACTGATTGAGCACCTGGGGACAGGACCCAGCCAGCCCTGGGAGCACAGGTGAAGGCAATTCAGCTGTGGGACAGGAAGCACACAGCCTGGCTGCACCTCTCTTAGCATTTAAGGGCTGAGTGCGGTTGGGGAAGGGTCTCTGCTTGGAGATCCCTCCTTTGTGGAGGCTTTCCTGTGAACTGAAATCTTCAGAGATGGGTGAGCATCTTTTCCTTTGAAATACCATCCTACCCTGTGCTGGTCCCTTTGCTGTTACGCTCCCGTATCTCCTTCCCACTGCATTGATCTTTCTGTAACAATAGCCATTTAATCAGCATTCCCACACCACTTTCAAGAGAAATCAGGCTCACAAGTGTACTTTGCATTTACATAGCAAATCCTGTGTGCTACCATGAAACTTACTGCTGCTTTTTCCTTATATACATTCTTATCACCAGTAGTGGTACCTGGGTTACAATCGTCATGAGTTCTCAAATCCATCAACTGAAGTTTATACACAACTCAGCAAGTCTACAGACAGTGAAAACACCAAAGATGCATTTCCCTGAACAGCAGTGTCAACAGCTTTCTACTTGAGGTAATGGACTCCAGACTAATATAAAGCAGCACCCTACAGTTTTTCGAAACAAGAATACCAAACTGCTAACTTTGTGCCAATACTACAGCCAGCGGCCTCCTGAACTCACACAAAATGCTGGCAGCCACAACAGAGCGTGAGAAGTCAGGGTTTGTTTTCAGTCTGCCACCTCCCAGTTTAACTGGATTCTCCCTAGTTTTGCAGTGTAAGCGCTTACAATGCTTATCACCCTGGAAGATGCTAAGTATCACGGGAGCTTGTTTCAGAGCACAGCCTTCTCACTTTTCTACCTTTACCTGAAAGGGATGGGGGCCAAGTAGGAACATTTCCTACCATGGACCTCTAAACTTTAACAAACTAATACAGCATGTAACAATGCCTTTTCACTCAGTAAAGCCTCTTTATGTACAGTAATAAATATTTAACATCAAGTTTATCATTACCTGCCAGAAAATGTGAAAATTTCACGAAAAATTTCACATTGCTCCTAACTAATGGAGCAACGAGAGGCAAGACTTATCACACTCTCAAGTCTGGCAGAGAACCTAATGAGACTTCCTTACAATACTTACAATAATTTTTATCCAAAGACACTCCACACAGTAAGCCTCACAGCAGAGATCTTTTAATAGCTAAGAGTTAATCTGTGTCATGATTTTGTTTTTTCTTTAAGCAAACAAGCCAAACATGTATGTAGTTACTGTTTAAAAAGAAACATATAGTAACACCATTTTTTTTCTTTTCTTTTCCATTTTGGATTTAAATACACCAAGGACACAACCTTAATGAACTCGTCAGCCATTAAGAGTTGGTTTCCTGAAGGTGGAAATGCCACAAGTCAGTGTCATTACTTTATGTTCTAATAACAAAATGACATTCCAGAAGAGCTGCATGCTTTACTCACAATATGTATTCATGAGGCAAACCTTAGGAAAATGGATAAAGCAGAAAAGCAGGTTGACAAGCAAAAATACTGTTTGCTTCAAACACACAATGCAAAGTCTCTTAATACCCTTTTTCCCTCCACAAGGAGTCCTACCTTGGTCAGTTTTGGTTGCTGGCTTCCAGTTTTCAGCACTAATTACTGGCAGACAAACCTGCCCCTTTTCATCGATGTTAGGGTGATAGATCTTTGTTTTAAATGTAATCTTAGGAGGTTTGAATGGATATTCTGCTGGAAAGTTGATTTCGATTCTGAAGGCTCCTTTATCATATGGAGGATTGTCCTGCAATGAGATGACAGAACATAAACAATCCAGCATTCTATAACATGTGAACTTTAAGTAAAAGCACGTTCAGACTTCGTCTACTAAACGACCTCTTTTCAAGGCACTTTTTCCAAACACATTCCTACATTTATGAACATCAAAACTAATGCAGTAGCAAAGAGGCAATACAACCTCCATCACCTTTGTGTGTCAGCATGAGAAAGGCAGACTACCACTGTTCTGAAGCTGGCTGATATTCCTGCTAGTAGGAAAGCAACCAATCCCATTTACTCCATGCTCAGAGATCTAACAAGTATTTTTATTCCCACATTTATAAGTATTTTGAAATACACTGTAAACCCTTTCTGATACACAAACAGGAAACCTCATGAGGATATTGGTTTCCCTAAAGCTGCCTGTTTTGTATCTCACACAACATGGTGGTTCAAACAGCAGAGCAGTTTGATTTGTCACATTCCCATAAGCATTCTGAGAACCCTTTTGTGCTGACTGCATAAAAACCTGCTGAGCATTAATTCGTACTAAAGATAGATATCCACTGCATCTGCTGATGAGAACATTCTGAATTCGTATGCAGTTTTAGCACCCACTGCTATCAGATCAGTTTTGATGGAGTACAATGAGAGAACTGTGAAGTAGGCAAAGATTTTCGAACACAGCTACTATTTCAAATGCTAACTGCTGAAGAAAGGCAGGAAAAAAGCTCCTGCTATGTTTAAAGATGATGAAAATGACATTCAATAAGCAGTAATAACCAGGACACCAAGCCTTCCCAAATACTTGAAGAATTCGTGTTCCCAGTTTGCGTTAAGTATAATTATTCTGCATTACCTATCGGGCCATTTCCTTAATTCAGTTCCACTCCAGAGGTTAAAAAGCTTTTACAAATACTTGGGGTTGGCGAGCACTCTATTAAGATGCTATTCAACACATAACATTCAATTTTGTTTTGGTTGCGGCTTCTAAGAAGTGACACATGACTTTTTGAGTCAAGGGAAGAAGTAACTCGAGTAGCTGAAGACCACTTTTTACCTGAGCAACCCTAAAAGTTTTTCAAGTTTAACAAATAACTTTCTGGCTGTAGTGGCAATTTACATTAATGCCCTCTTCTCACACTGTCTGCTTTGTTCTTACCTCCATCACCTGCTAGAACATGGGAGGACGTTCAGGAAAATGCTACAGGATCAGAACTGGCTTAACAATGCTCATTTCCTGCTTGACTCTCAGTCAGAACAGTTTTTCACCATAACTCGCCAATAAATTTTAACTAAACATGTATGTAAAGCAGTTTCTCATCTTTTCAAGAGACAGAACACAGAATATTCACGAAGTTCATTTCCAGTAATTTGTTACATTTATTCTTCTACTGACAAGGTAGGCAGTCCAAATTATAAATGCTGAAATACAGATATCTAACACTTGACTTGCATTCACCTGATGTATTTTTACTCTGCACAAGTTTATCAGAAGCATTTGCTATGGACACAGTGAAATAAAATTCAGTGTAACCCAGCAGCACCTTTTACTACAGCCAGGAGCCTCATACTGGCATTCAAAAAAATCAAACAGTGCTTTTTCAACGTACAGAACTTCAGCTATACCCTATTGTGCAGTGTAGAACAGGAAAACTTGAGAAATCACCTTCAACAGGCTTCTCAATTGAACTAACACTAAAAACAAAACACGATGTATACAGGTTCTTATAGCACTACTGCACAAACACTGTCAAAATACTAACCTTCATATCTTCAATATTTGAATTAAAAAGCAAACCAAAATACTGCCTAGTTACAGAGTTTAATAATCAGTAACTGATTACTCTACTAATGACAGTACTTGTATCTCAAACCCTCAGCAAGAACAAAACTGGGAACAGCATGTAAAACTTCAAAAGAAAAAACTTGGGAAAAAACCTAGAAACCACCACAACCAAAACCAGCACACCTCACTTGTATCCAGTTTATATTTGATATTTTGAAGCCTTCTATTCCAGCTAAAAAAAAAAAAGAAACAAACTATGCTTCAGCATAAGCATCTTTTATAGCATTTCCTCAAAACATAATCTATACTACTCTTCTAAACAGCTATGACACAAATATTAATTGCTCTAATAAGCATAGATTTCATAACAAAATTCCCTCTTGGCCTTGAATCCTTACTGGTGTAACATTTCGCTTGCAATAAATAGATGTTATACCCTACATACTTCTAACTTTAGCAGCAGCAAACATTCTGGTGCTTTGCTTTATTAGCCATGTTTACCACCCAAACACCACTTCGAAGCATTGCCAAAATGCTAACCTGGCACACATGAAACACGCCAATTGGAGTGGCTTGCAAAGCACTGTTTCTCAGTCATGTAGAATTTTAGCACCAAATCCTGCTTACTGTATTAGGAAGAGTAAACTCAACCACTCGAGGGAATTGCTCATAGAATGAGAGTAAATTAAATCTGTTCTACAGCACCTCAAGATCAAAGGCCTCACAAAGATCTTAGCAGAGATGACACGACCCAAGTTTGTGAACGGCCTTCAGCTGTGAAAGTGAAGGCAGTGCCAAAACAACACTTCAGTTTCTTCTGAAATAGTTTACATTGGTCAGGAGACCTTTCAGGTAGCACCAAGGAAAAGCAGCAGCAAAGAGCCATACTTAAAAGTAGCTGATGTAATAAATGAACGTGAGCCGCAGCAGTGCAAAATAAAGCAAGGTGAAAATTCATGCAACCAAGGAATTTAACATACTAAGATTCCTGCTATCCCCTCCCTAACAAGTCCCTCTCTATTTGACTAATACAGTTGCTATCTACTTCTATTATTATTCTAATACTACTAATAGAAGAATTCTACTCCTGCTTTTAAACAGCAGCATTAGTGTTTTTGGAAGCAATTAATGCCTAAGGACTTTCTTTTAAAGAGCTCACTTGTAAGAATCCAAACCTTTTCCCTGCAGACTTTTTCCAACACTTAAATTTTTTCCCTAGAAATGAATACAGTAATTTACAAACAAGCACCCCAAACTAACAAAAACCACAAGAAAACAACACACAGAAATCTATTGAGGACTAAATAAAGTATTTCATAACTCAGGCATTCTCCTATGATGATGTAAATCTTGTACTTTCAGCTTGAGATAACAAACTACACAGCTCACTTGCTTCCCCTTTCCAGGACCTTTCCCAAGCAACCCAGCGCCATCGCCGGCTCTGCAGCCTTTCCAGGGCAGCCACTGGCTGGATCAGACCCACAGTTACCCAGCATTCAGCCAACTATTCATCAGTTGTCCAGAGCCCCTATCAATTACGTATAGATTTTTCTTCACACTACTTACAACAAACATCACTACTAACATTACTACTACTTACTACTACCAACATTATCAGGCACTAATAAAACCACACAAGACATTCACACGAAGTGAGAAGACAGATTACATTTGTCTTGAGACTATACGAGAAGTCTAAAGGGGGCCAAGAATTAAATCCATTGGCACCCTTCACTGCCCAGAAAACAACAACTCTGAAAGCCAGCTTCCCTACAATGAAGAAATCTTGCCAGTGTACAAAAACTATCTAATGGTCACTAACAGCAATGCAAAACTGGGGATTTACAGTAAAAAAATGATCATGTTTTAAAGCTCATTAAAATAAAGAGCATTTCATACTCACAGGAACAATAAGCCCTTGCCAGGTCAATAAATTAGCTTCATCAACCTGGATATTACGGAAGTTTTTCATTCCACATTTGCGGATTTCTTCAAGCTCCTGGAAAAGAAGCAGAGGAAGTCAGCAGTTAATATGACGTGAGGCACAATGCTCAGCTCTGTTTCAGCAAAACGCCTGGAGGTCAGCGTGAGCTCCTCTAAGACTAAAGGAGCCTGAGGCTTCAGTGGCAGCAACCCACAGAAAACAAAGCGCTGTCCCTGTGAGAAGTAAAATTCTGAGACAAGTTGTTCATAAAGGGTCAATCACCAGTAAAATCTTTTCTCGGCTTCGGTGATGCCTACGTCTCTAACAAGTACGTAAGCTATTTTCATATTAAAATGACTATAAGCCCTACTGCAGCAGCCGTTTCCCTGAGTATTTATTTCATCAGAAAGCCGTAAGACCAAAAAAAGCAAAACCCCAAGGCTCCACCTATTCCCACAATAATGACAGTCCTTCAAGAGTTTTATCTGCACAGACAGCGTAACTGAACTCAAATTAAGCCTCCTGACACGAAATGTAAAACTTTCCCTGTGGTTCCAAGTGTGAAGCACATGACAGTAGCCCACACACACTGGGAAAAAGCACTGCTGAGGTGCATGCTGCCAGCACACAGACCTCCACTGGAGACAACCACATTTGCAAACCCAGGCAGGATATTATGATTAAACACCAACTGCCAGCACAGGAACCACAACGCACAGAGCATTAGAGGTGCTGAGTGCTGAAGGCACAGGGAACCTGCTTGGAAAGCACCAGGGCAGTTCATGCCCCTCCTGCAGCTGTTCTAAGGGAGCTCTCTGCACACAGAACTGCCACATCCAAAAGCAAACTGTCCCACAAGGGATAAATCCCATTCCACACCAGATGCAGCGCACCGGCCACCAGGAACAAACCAGGCTAAGTTTACCACTATGTAGTTAAGCATGAATAAACATGCAACACAGATACCTTGCCTCTAAAACAGGAAAAGAAAAAAAACCCAAGTTCAGTGTTTTAAGTATACTGACTGGAAAATTACTATTATTAAACTCATAAAAAGAGAGAATGGTTTTGCATTAATGGAAAATGAAATATCTGTATTTCATAAGTAGATTCAGGTTAAAAAATGAATGATTACTTAAGAAATGCAATCAAGCAGGGCACAGATAATTATAAAATTGTAATAAGAATTGCACAAAAGGAAAAAATCCAAGCTAATAAACAAGTTGCTCCCTATTTTTTTTTGTCAAGTCCATCACATGGGAGAGGGAATTAAACAGCCTGGGAGACAACACAGGAAAGAGCCAGCAGAAACCCTGTTCATCTTTCAAAATGACACGTGGAACGATTGTGGAATTCACTCTCATAGAGAGGCAGCAAGTGACTGCAGTGTGTCAGGCCCAGACTCTGCGCCTCCTGCCCTGCTGCCTTGGGTCCTGCAGGAGTAACAATAACCAAGAAGGGAGCGGAGGATAAAGCAGGCAGTCCTTTTCCTCACCTGGAGACATGACCCACCTGAAAAACTTGCTTAAGACAGGTGCCAATTTATCCTAGCAGGGGCTTTTCTTACCCTAGAAGCATATTTGCAATGTATTACTCTTATTTCTAATTCATATTTTTAGTGTTTTTATGTTTAATTCATCAGAAGTGACAGAAGATTAAGAACTCAGGATTAAAAAGTGGTGAGAACTTGCAATAAAGACCTAAATGGTCTCAGAACTACAGAAGCAGACAACTCAAGGATATAGGCACAGTTAGAAGAAGTGAATGAACTACCAAATGTCACCAAACAGCATTAGATTAGAAGTTAATGCTTCAGTGCTGAGAGCTAATCTTAGAGGGTCAAAAATTACTTTATGGGGTATAAGAATACAGCCCGGATATTTATTTCAAAATAAATCCTAATAGTCCAGGCAGGCAGTGAATAGAGTAATTCCTCTTCTGTCCTCCACCCCTTTGTCAAGCAACATCATTAAAGGCACACAGAAGCAGCCTAACCAAAGGTTTGAATGCTGCAGAAGTTTAAGTCATCTTTGACTTCCCACAACCTGGCCGCTTTGCTCCCCACTTACTACAGACAACACACTGTGCCCAGCACGTGGGAAGGAGAAAGTTGTTCCGGGGTAACCTCAGCCTTGGGGAAGAGTGCTGGCAGCAGGCCTGGATGCACACGCTACCTTTCTCGTACATAACCAATACATAAAGTTTCAGTTTTTTGCTTTGAACAGCACAAATGATTGTATTCATTGTGAATTCAAATGATTGAAATAGAAAATGAAGTGACATCACCTTAAAATCATAGAATGCCTTGGGTTGGAAGAGACCCTAAAGATCATTGAGTAAAATGTACCTGCCTTTTAGAAGAAAGCTGGAATACCAGATTCACACCTAGAGCCATAGATTACAACAATTTTTAGAACTCCTACTCCTCAAAATTCACTGAAGGCTAAAAAAAACAAACAAAAAAACCAAACAACCAAGCCACCAAGCCACCAAACCACCAATCACTAGGCGTCCAGCACAGCCCTGGAACTGTTTTGCTTACACATCTTTGAAGTTTGGGGGCTTGGCTAAAAAGAAACAAAATGGATAGGAAGATTCAGTGGAGACTGAAACGGTTAAGTTTATCAACTGCAAGAAGCTCTGCATTAAGCTGCAGATGCTATTAAATTCATAAATGAAAACAAAGGTCTACCGAAATGACTGCACACTTTGCTTACCTAACATTTACAATTTGTTTATCTGTTTGTGCATTACCTAAAAGATGTGTGACAAAGCTAAATAGGCTCCAAGACACCGATAAGGAGCTCCAACTTGACTTTTGAATGTTGTGTACTGCTGAGAAATGTTAAAAACAAAGAAACAAAACAAACAAAACCAAAAAAGAAAACAAACCAGATTCCAGCTCATTTAGGAGCTGTTACAGAGTTTCTGAAACCAAGAGGCTGCGATACTGCAGTTCCATATGCTCACATGCTTTTATCAAGTAATTTTACTTTTTGGCAAAATGTTTACATCTGGTTTTCACTCATAAGTGTTCTCTTAAAGTTTTGATTATAAACCTTTTTCTCAATTTTCATTTTTGAAGAAGGAATCAGCTCTCACTCACATGCAAACAACCACGTATGGCACGAGGCCTTCCATCCATCATTAAGGAGAAGCTTGGACACACACAGAGTTGTTTGTAGCACCTTTCCTGGGGACAGTCTTGCTGTTCAGGAGATTGCAGCACTCTGCAGGCCACCTGCAGCAGGGCAGCCCTGGATCACCGAGTTCAACAGTGGCACACGTCTGACTATGTGATCATGGAGGCAGATTGAAAACAGAGATTTGAAGAATCGCTACCTACTCTTTAAATCTATTTTCAATTCTTACCGCTATAAATCCTCGTAACACCTAAAAGCCAGGAAGCAAAAGCACAGACGTCAGCTCAATCATACTGCAGATGAGCACTGGAAGAAGGAGCTGCAGACCCAGGGCAGCTCAGTACCACTGCGATGAGTGCTGCCTGTGCCCGAGTACCACACACTGCTGACGCCAAGCGGTGACTGCTCAGCAACGAGAGCCTCCCCCTTTGCAGCTATGCACTGCTTCCCTTCAGATCACTCAGCTCCAGAAAAGAGCCTGTTCCATGTTAGTGAGTGGAAATTGCAAGCCCTTCAGTGAAATCTCTCACATGTCTCTTGCAGATGTACTGCCCATCACATGTGTTTGGGGAAAAGGTGCTTCTCACAAGAAACAGTCATGAAGCAAAGCAGCCCCCCAAAAGCAAAGAACGAGCTGCTTTCTTAAGTTGAACTATGCTGCGTTTGCCAGGTTCTCAGTCCCATCCTACAAGGGAAAACCCATAACGACATACCCTTGGTGCAGGCTGCCTTATTCCCACCTCTCATATTCCACAAACAGTGGCGATCTGTCAGCTGCGGCTCTTTGAAGAGGTGCAATGGTGGCTCAGAAATCAAAACTCCACCTCAAATGCTGCTGGAGCACAATTCATTAGCTAAGAATGTTTCACATTTTTACTAACTTGGGTGCGCTCGCAGAAAGACTTGAACAAACAGAAAACAGTTAGATCAGACCATCACATAAAGCCCTGCTAAGAGAGGACATAAATTAGGGCCTTGGCCTAAGACAGGCCATTTGCACATAGTGTGCAGTAACAAGGCAATCTTATGCACATTATAACCTGACTTAAATGTTAAAACTAACTGTAAGACAGCAAAATTTCAGTGCTTCTTTCACAAGGAGGTTTGCAAATTGAAGAGTCCATAATCTGAAGAGGAAACCCACTTCCACCTGAAAGGTGGCAACTATAATAACACTCCCGTCTGCCTGTGGGCAGGCTGCATGTTATTATGAATCAACTTCACCAGTCTCTGTGGCATCGTGACTCATGAGTGACTGATGTGTGACACGTATTCAGGAAAGATTACAGCACTTCAAAATGTTGGCAAGATCTCACGGAAATGGAAATGCCTTTATTTTATGCGACCTATAAAAGATTCATTCTCAGCTACGAAAGACAAAGTTGATGTTTAGCCCCCCCAGAAAAAGAGAACTAATTGAGTTGGAAGAGACCAACCCAATTAATGCTTATTGTACCTTATTATTAGTATTGATTTTTTGTTTTGGTTTTTTTTTTGTTTTTTTTGATATTCAGTGACACATGGAATCACCCATCATCCTATGGTCCTGAGTTTGGAATCCCACAGGCTCTTTCATAGTGCAAAATTCTGAAAGTGAAAGACTTGAGATCAGCAAATTTCCACTTTATAACCTAAACAACAGTATCAGGCTGGTATATGTGAGTTATAAGAGCTCCAGTCCATTCCTATCCAGATGAATAGCAAACTTAGAGCACAACAGGCTGATCTGATGCCACAAAAGGAACAAATGAAGCTGCTTGTTGAACAGCCTGTACAAGTTATGCGATAAAGCATCTCGCAGCTGTTGGAGTGGCATAAAAAAAAGCACATGACACACACAGTCCATAAACAGAAGGCAATAAAAATGAAAGTAAAAACGTAAGAGGGAAGTTATCAATATCTCCTTCCTTCCTACACCGCTCCCTCTGAAAAGAAACTGCCACTGTTCTTCTAGAAAAGGTCACATCATCAAAACCATTTCGATGGCATTTCAGTGAAAGACCAAGGCACTATGTGATGCTTTAGGAGCACTGGGGACTGCGTGAGGGGCTGAGAAGCACAAGGGCTCTGTAAATTTAAGGACAAACTTTCTTGCCTCTCATATTTTCATGTTCTGTACTAAATACTTTGACATTGAGTTAGATATTTTTCCTCTAAGAAAAAAATACTGACGTGCTACTGAACAACAGAGCAGGCATTAAAGCTGCCTTGCAAGAAGCTACACCTATCCTATCTGAAACAAAGAACCTAATTCAAATACAAAGCTGCAGATATGCTGATGGCTCTCAAACTATGACCAAAAAATAACAGCTATCAGAAACGAAATAAAAACCAAGCGCCACCTCCTCAGAAGCCTTCAGGAGAACCAAGGCCTTACGCCTGCTGATCTAATACATATCTGAATGACTCCGCACATATTATATTTACTACTTAATTTTTGATGCCTACATGGCACAATTAAGGTGACAAAATGAGTCTTGTGAAAGCAATGCTGAGCTATGGGTTTCCTCAAAAGCGACTGCTCACGTGCACACGGATGTGATCAGCCATGGAAACGTAACCTCGAACAACCTACAGCCCCCAGCAGAACCCTAACCCTCCAGGGCTCACAGCCTTAAGGGCACCTCTAAATCTGCTACTGAAGGAGAAGTTTAACAGCATTGTTATGTACCAATTTTCACCACAAACGGTATTTTACAGTAAATACGCTCTCTTCGTGCAAACTCACGCTCAAGGCTGTCCGCACATAAGAATCTCCCTCCTCATCAGCATATCGCAGTGAAGACAAATCTATCACCACGCCCGGAGCGAGCGAGGCAACTTATGAACCCGGGTCCACGCTTCACCTCGATAAGCCTCTGACTCACGCGGGCGCGGCGGTCCCCCCACCAAACTGGGGCGCCGAGACCCCCCCAACCCCCCACAGCGGGGCCAGCAGAACCCCCCGGCCGAGGGGCGGAGAGGGCACGGGACGCCCCCGCGCTCCCTGCCCGGTCGAGCGCGGCCCGCCGGGAGGGCCCGGCCGTCACACCGCCCCGGGGATGGGCCGGGCGCGGGGCGTCCCGGCCGCGCCGTTTCCTTCCCCCTCGGCCCTTCCTCTTTGCTTAGTCACCGCGGGAGCCCCCCGAGGGAGGGGGCCGGCCCGCTCCGCACGGCCTCGCGGCACTCTCCAAACCCCTCCCGGGCCGCCCCTGGCGGCGAGCGGCGGCCGAGGCGAGATGCCCGAGCGCGGCGCGGGGCCGAGGCGGAGGCGCGGCCCCTCACGGCCGAGGCCCAAGCGCCGACCGCTCCCGCCCGGCCGCCCCGGGCCGGGGACGGGAAGGGGCCCCTCAAGCGGCCCGCGGCAGGGAGAGGCGAGGAGCCCGGTCTCATAAGAGCGCCGAGGGCCAGGGAGAGGCGGGGGCCGCCCGTCCCGCGGCCCTTCCCGACGCGGCGCCGCTGTTACCTTCATCAGCCTCCTGCTGGCCGCCATCTTGGCTCTGCTACCGCCGCCCCACAATGCATGGCGGCGGGCAGGGCGCTCGGCGCCGCGCTTCCTGCGGCGGGCGGGACGGAGGGCGGGTCGAGCGCGGGGCTTCGCCCATTGTCCGGGCGCGAGCCGGGCCGTGCGTTCTCGGAGCGCTCTCGGGAGAAGAGAGAGCGGGCGGCTGCCGGCTGGCCCCAGCTGTGCCCTCAGGTCCGCGGGTCGCCGGGCTCCGGTCCCCGCCGGCAGTCCGTCGCGGTAGCCGGGTGCTTCACGCGGGGCCGCAGGTACGGCGGCTGGAATCCTGTGGCCTTCGGCTGCCGCTTCGCATCTGAAACGCCGCCGGACGCCGTTCTGGGCCGCCGGAATCGCTCCCTGCGCCGTTCGCCGCTGTCCTCGCTGAGGTGGCGCTGCTCCGCAGTAAAGTTACTGCTATCATCCGAAGAAGTTCTGTGCTTTAAAATAGGCCTTACGGACACGGACATCATGAAAAAGCAAAGTAAATGTGAAATACATAAAGTACTATAAGAGGCTCTCAAAAACTTGCGGGGATGCAACAGAAGTGATCGGTTCTGAAGAACAAGGATTACAGTACCCATTAGGATCATCCTGTAGCAACGGGACAGATCTGCGTGACGGGAAAGGTGTTTCACCAGAGGCGAACAGCAGAAGGACCAGCATGACAGAAAGGCACTATAAATAAGGAAAAGGAAGAAGATTGCTCACCTGTATCAGGAGATTCCAGGTTCAGAGGAAGAGCTTCACCAAGGAGGGATCTCCAAACAGAGACCCTTCCCCAGCGGCACTCAGCCCTTAAATGCTGTCTAAGAGAGGTGCAGCCAGGCTGCGCCCCTTCCTGTCCCACAACTGAATTGCCTTCACCTGTGCTCCCAGGGCTGACTGGGTCCTGTCCCCAGGTGCTCAATCTGTGCTTCAGGCCGTGACTCAACAGTTAGCTACAACTCCCCGAACAGCTATTTGATAATCAAGATTTTACATCTACAATAATGTTTATTGCTCCAAATCTCAACATTTGTTAAGAAGTATACAGCATACATAGAAGCCAGCTTAATGCTCACCTCTTCACACGGGTGTTGTGAAACTGTAAACATCTTTCAGGCTGTATCATCATAACTATTTAGAGTTATGATCTTATGCTATCATCCTGATAGCAGGAGAGGTCTAACATACGCAGTGTGTGGCAGATGGGGGGCTCCACGTGTCAATCAGTTGCACATAGTGTGAGAATAGGAGTGGCAGAGGTTGAGGACTTGTGATGTGACACTGGTACTGAAGAACTGACATTGGCTAAGAGGGCTATTTCAGATTACATGCTGCTCAAGTTCAGAAATACTTGTGTCTGAGACCATGGTGACTTGGAAGAACAGTTCTTTAAGATTATTTTATGGATATCCACAGATATGAAAAATGAGCTGCTTCAGCTATTATCTGTATTTATGTATTTGTCAGAATTCTATCCACGTTTTCATCTCATCTTTATTCAGCTGTATAGTTCTCCAGGACCATCACGTCTCAGAGAACTCATTCAGGCTCTCACCCATATCTGCACTGAGTTATGCACAAAAGGCAATACTAAAAGAACTGCAGTAAAATCTGAATTACTATCTGTAATTTTAATCCATGGTTTTTATAGCTTGTAAGAGAATGTCAGAAGTGCCTGGGATAATTACTAAGATAATCTACACTTCCTTCGACAAGAAAAAACACCACCCACACTAACTAACAATAGCCCAGCCAGCTCTTAAGAAATCACTGCTGGGTGCAGCTGTCCTCATAAGTTACCACCTGATGCTGACATCCTCTCTTAATGCAAGGTGTTGAAGGAAGTTGACACAATTGCACGCAGCTCACATATCTGCTGCCAGCACTGATGAGCAGTGCCTTATTTATTGGCAAGGGTTGTGCAGCCACAGTCGCACTACTGCATTTCTCCTGGATATAATTCACTGGTAGTAATGAAATGCTGTCTGATATTAAAGCAAAAAGAATTTACTTTCAGACAGAATTTCAATTATAACTCTTACCTCCCTTTTAGTGACAGGACACAGGCTGCTAGTTATACAAAGTTTTGCAGACCTTTCTGCATTTGTGAAATTTGTTGTTGTTGTTTCCAGGTCACACCCATTATTTTTTCTGGCATCCAAAATACATGTTTTGGTGTCTATTTTGCAGGGCTTGCCAGTCCCTTGAAGACATCACGTCTATGCCTGCTCTCTTCCAAAGATCATTTTCTATCGCCATTTTAGGACCATAACTGTTCAAAAAAAGAAAAAAAGCCTAAACAAACTTTCCAAACGTGTGAATAACAAAATAGCCTGACCCTTGAAAACTTAAAACAAACAAATAAATAAATAATCTCTGTGTATAACTTCTGTCATGAAATGGACTCTCAACAATCAGAAAGATCAGCGCAGTGAAGTGGTGATACAGGAGGTGTCACGACAAAGGGACTAGCATGATGGAAGGGTGTTACAAAGAAAAAAGGAAAGCGCTCACTCATCTCCCAAGATCTTGTCTCACAGGGAAAACTCCACAAGGGAGGGATATCTAAGCAGAGAGCCTTCCCCAGTGGCAGTCAGCCCTCAAATGAGGTCTAAGAGAGGTGCAGCTAGGCTCCACCCCTACTGGTCACACAGGTCTACTGCCTTCACCTGTACTCTCAGGGCTGCCTTGGTCCTTTCCCCAGGTGTTCAATTAGTGGTTCAGGCCATGACTCAACAGTTCCCTACAGACTGCTGAAAAGAGACAAAATAGATCAGGAAATCTGAATGGGAGGAACTAAGAAAAAGAATAATTTGTTGGTATATTAAACTTGATCACACCAACAACTTGAATACAAAATATGGGTCTACAAATCAAGAAAAAATGCAACAGAATAAGAAGTGGTAAAGCGAAGGGCAGTGATCAAGGGGATGGAACATCTGCTATATTAAGAGACGTTGAAATGGCCAGAGCTCTTCTACCTGCAGAGGTGGAGTCTGAGAACGAATACGGTTGAGCTTACAAAAATCATAAAGGCAGCAGCTAAGGTGCACACAGAACTAAACCACGTACAGTGAAACTAATCAGAAATCAGTAACAGCCAAAGCACTACCTTTCTCTTCTGGAGCTCCCTACCATGAGCTGTAGAAGAGGCAAAACTCAGCAAGTTCAAAAATGAACTAATTGAGATGGGTGACAGGTCCATAAACAGAAACAAAAAAAAAAAAAATAAGCAGGGAATAATTCTCACCAAACATCTCTAATTGATGCCCAGATGCAATTACAGATGCTTGGAAGGATGAGGTGAATGACTGGGGTCTGCACACTGCCCCCAGGTAGGGCATATGCTGCTGCCACGGGCAGGGCAGTGAGCTAGAAGGATTTCTGTCCTGGTCTGACATCCTTGCATCTGGGATTCCTAGACATGCTGATTTACAGAACAGACAAAACTCAGATTTCAAAGTGGTTCTAACTCATTTAGAACACACTTTAGGGAGATACATATGATCAGCAGGGGTTAAGTACATCTTCAAGAGCAACTAAACAGTTCATTTTATAGCTAATTTAAAAAGAGAACACAAAAACCTTAAGCTTACTATAGGTATAAAGCTGCTTTTCCCAGTTGGTTAGATGCCTCAGAAGTAGTCCACTACTCCTTTCTCTATCATAATCAATTTATTCCATGATTGGAGGAGAAAAAAGAAAAGCCAGACAAAAGAGTAATGTCCTACACTTCTGTGATGAATAAAACCAAACCGGTAAGAAAATCAAACAGGAAAACCAATCCAAACCAAAGAACACATGCCACTAAAGTTGCATTACCCCCGCAAAAAGTAAGCCACTTCAAATGACTGAGTTCAGAACTTGGTGATGAAGCCATGAGATGGCAGCAGAGCCCATGGAACGAGCACCCTTTGTGGGAGGGACATCTGCATTAAATATCACTTCTGTCCCAAGTGGGTCTTAGTGTTACAAACATATTTTTTAACGGGAACTCTAATCAAAAGCCTTGTTCTTCATTCCTGCATTACATCACTTCTTATATTTCTCACAGCTGCAGAAATTTGAACAATAATTGGATCTCTATTTTAAGATAAATCATAGAGAGTCTTTTTACCACAGTAAACCTTTAGTAAAGATGATGTGAGCTCAAGCAGTGTAGAAAGGGCTGAGGAAGCTATCAAAAATCTGTTTCTCTAGATGTATAGCTACTAGTTTGGGAAATAACAAAAATGGAATAATCCAGTGGTATAGAGCAAGCATGTGTTCTGAAGTTTGGGCCAGGTGGAGAAGGGTGGAGGACAGCTTGGGGGTGGCTGTGTGGGTGCTGTGTAGCTGCTGAAAGCCAGGATCAGCCCTATCCACATGGATCTCCGGGCCAGATATCAGCCTGTAGCAACTAACAGGAAAACAAGCCAGGCCCCACAGTGCTGAGCTGGGCTGCCTGCCACTGGGAGGGCAAACCTGGGTCATGGGATGGAGCTCACAGTGAGCGGTGCTGAGCCGGATGAAACAGAGAGCAACACAGCAACAGGTGTAATACTGCCTTTCTTGTGACATATGACTGCAGCTCTGTGCAGTTGTCCTGAATCTCACCACCTGCAAGGGACTTGGAAACTCACTGAAACACTGGACAGCTGAAGGACAAAGATGGTATTGTTTGGCAGTGGATTTTGAGAGAAACGAAAGGGAGCTCCTACACATGGGCTCATGTAAATTCAGCCCTACAGGCATGCAGGTACACAGCACAACCGTGGAGGAGTGGCGCTGACAGATAGAGTGGTGGTCCACGTGTTAACCCTGCAAAATTCATCCAAAACCACGATGTGTCACTTGAGAAGCATTTCCTCCACGAAATACTGTTAGACACAGTCTGGGCACCAGTCGTTGCACTTCACAAGCAGTGCTTACAGCATTCCTATGTTCTGAGCTCAGTTATCTCCACGCACCTTCAGTGGAGTAGACCCTGTGGAATGATGTCACAGAAGACCACCTTAGTTTTAATAGATTTCAGTATGTCAAAAACCCCAATATTATTTTAAGCAAGGAGAAGCAAG